TAGATCGTTTACATGAATCTGAACCACATAACGACTCCAGGAGCATTAATCCAGAACGAATGATAGACTGAAGTTAAACAAAAAACATGAAAGTAGATGTTTCAAACGATGTTCAAATCATCCTTCATATATAGAGCATATACACAATGGTAACTTGATTCATTCAGGGGGACTATTTTCTAATATGGAACCATGTTAACAAATGGAAGGTCAACTTTAGTTTTTAATATAAAATATTCAAGTGTTTTGATTTGATTGATTGGTTACAGAATTTCATCAAGAGCTGACATTGGTTAGAGAACCATTGGAAAACCGACAGGGAGTACTGGACAGCTGTTTCGTCAGCCTAGTTTGGGACTCTTTATCAGTACGCACCCACCGAGGTTCATGTAATGAGTATGACTGAAAACCAAAATCAAAACAAGTGACTGAGTGAAGAAACTTTCCAATAAATTCAGTATCAAGCTGTACAATCATATACATATGTAGCCACAGAACGCTCCCCACACCGATACGAGAACATATTCCAGCATGATTTACCAGGGAGAAGGGAAGGAGATGCGAAGCTCTATTCTAGAACACTTGATCGATTTCTGTCACTATACCAACCCTGACCATGATTTTTCTTAGATCATCTATCGAATTCACGCTAAATTGCCACGTTTTCTTCGTTGCAAACTTTTAAGGAGAGCAGAGGCGCTGGCTATTTACGAATTTAAGCCAAACCTTAGTGGGAAAAAGAGATATGTACAATCCCGGTTTCTGCCTTGGCTGTAGACAGATAGACACATTTATGTATTTATTTATTTATTTTCATTATTATTAATTTTTATTTCTTTTGTTTATTCAGTCAATCTATGCTACCTTTGCCTCATTACTACGATTATTATTCTCACTTTGATTTGTTTACACTTGGCCCACTTGTCATTCTAAATCAAAAAAATGTTTGCAACGCTGAATTCTATCCTATCAACTTTCATATGATGTTATGTAAAGTTTTACATTTGCCATTTTTTTATCCCTTAGCGTTCCGAGTGAAACATAGGGGGACTTCAAGCTTTAGCTTTGAAGTCCCAGTAGAATTGGTGTTTTTACCGGGTGAGGTTGCTAGCCTCGCACACCCAACCTTCCTTCTTGTTGGGAGTGTGACCGGTTAAGGGAGGTAAGGGGATGCGCCGGCCGAGACTCGAACCCCGGATGACGTGCGTGGTCGGCCAGCGCTCTACAACTCAGCCACCTACCAAGCCTATAATTATGCACCCCCTTCCAACATCTATTTTTTTTTCCTTCACGTTCCCAGTGGAACATAGGGCCTCAAGCTAAGGGCTTGAAGTTTCTGCAGCAGTGTTTATTTTTACAGGATAGGGTTGCTAGCCTCATGCCCAACCTTTTCTCTTCACCAGCATTATTTCTGGCTTAGCGAGGTAAAGGTGTGCGTCGGCCGGGGATCGAACCCCGGACCATGTGCATGGTCGGCGAGCGTCCTAACCGCTATGCCACCGACGCTCCAATATCTATACATCCTATGAATTCGGTCGGTTTTCGACATAAAACTTTGCACATATGTGCGGCAGTTCAAGTCGCCACACTCCATGTAGCACACAAAGGAAAAGAAGAAAGTAGGAGAAATGCATATTAGAGACAGTAAACAGAAGTGTGAGACAAAGGTATAGTAATAACGGAGAACAAAACAGTTTCATTTGAAATCATAAGTCACAAGGAGTGGATGCATCTGCGCCACTGAGAACGATTTTGAGCCATGTCACCAATTGTTTCCAACCATTGGTTTTTACTGTCCCGAGGACCCCAACCAGTCAGGTTGTCTGCACCTTCCTACGTGGCTTAGACTAACTGTTGTAGATTTCATTGACTGGTGCCATGTTTTGGTTTGACCACCACTGGCTCTTTTCCAACCTGACCCTATGTCATCTAACATCACCCGTCGAGGAAGGCGATGACAGGCATACGTAACACATGCCCTAACCATCTCAGTCGATGTAATTTCACAGCCTCGTCGATTGATTTCCCTTCCTTATCTAGCACTCGACGCCTAACCTCAGTATTGCTCACCTTATTATACCACTTCACACGGGAGATAGAACGCAGACACCTATGATCGAAGACAGCTAATCTTTTCATGTCTTCTGCTCTCAATGGCCAGGTCTCACAGCCAGCCATAAAGGAGGACGGAACGGACTGCTGAGCAGTACACACGCCCTTTGGTCGATAGTCGGATATCATGTCTACTCCAGAGACGGTGTAAACTGGCTATGAACTATTCTATATATTCCTATAAATTATTCCATATATGACATTGTTTGTTTTGCCACTTGATATTTAACTGTGATCATAATTACAAACATTTTAATTGTATTTCAGACTATTATTGGTTTAAGTATTCACACCTTGGTTTAAATTATCTCACAGAATACAATTTCTTAAATAGGCCATACATATACGATTGTACAGCTTGATAACAGATTCGTTGAAAACAGTCTCTTCGCTGAATATTGTTTTTAATGTTACAATGGGAATTATTAAATTATTTCATTCATTGATCAGTCAGGCTACCGGATAAAAAACAAACACTAGCAAGTTATACTATGTAGGCGTAAACTTTCATGCTGATGAACCTACCAGTTCTAAGTAGTGAAATACTCCAGAGTCATTGACTAAATGGGTGTCTGTCTGCCACGTACTTCGAATGCCACTCAAACGTGAAGACTAACAGATGAAAATCAACAAACTAGTTGAAGAAGCAGCGATGACAGGACTTTGAGTGAACACAGAGAAGACAGGGTTGATGAAGATAACCAATCAACAGAGACAACAATAACCTGCACCAATCACTATCAACGGGAGAAATTTGAAAACGGTTACTTACTTCACTTATCTAGGCAGTAAGCATCGTTTCAACAACAGATGGAATGAATGGGGACGTCAAAGCCGGAATCGGAAATGCAAGATACGCCTTCATCAACCTGAAACCAGTTTGGAAATCTTCTGCACTCAACATAGAGAACAAGACTTGGATTTTCAACACACACACATGTGAAGTCAGTTCTTCTACATGGATCAGAAACTTGCACTGTATCAAGAGAAGCATTTCCAACAGGTTGCAGACTTTTATCAACAGCTACCCTCGCTGACTGCGTATTAAAGATTAAATGGCCAGAAAGAATTAATAGCAGCGAAGTCTATTATTATTTCATGTATTTACACATGTGCTTCAACTTCCTCAAAGGAAAAAATTTCTTAATATAAAAAACTATACACATACAATTGTACAGCTTGATAATAAATTCCTTGAAACGAGTCTCTTCACTGAATCACTTGTTTTGATTTTCCTATATGCCTCAATGGGAATTTTCCAGAAATTAAAAAAGCAAAAGGTAGAGAGACAAATACTTATTGGTTGTATACTTATGCTTAAGAAAGCTTCTTTTATATTCGCTTTCGTTTGCTTTCTTTTCATTCCTCCACATTCCATATAGAACAGAGGACTCTGAGCTTTGAGTTTCCAGTTAACACGCCCACGTCCAATCATGTGTGCTTGTCAGCACTCACCAGTCAGCGAGGCGTATCTGCAGTCTTAAAGGAACTCATGTCCCCTCTGAGATTTGAACCTGCGTCGTCCATTGCTGCAGTCTAAGAGACGTTAATACTGAGCTCACTCTGCACCAACCCAAGGAGTGAAGGCTTGACACTGATTATTACCTAGCGGCCAACCATGGTATTCATTACAATCCTGCAGGAGATTAATCGCGAGATCAAACTGCTCAGTGGTAACATCTCACAGGCTACAGCACTGAGTGACACGGGTTCGGATCTCCAAAGGCACATGAGTTCCTTCCAGATTGTAGATACGCCTTGGTGACTGCCAACCAGAACGAAACTGAAGTCCAGGGCTTCCTGCTGATTGTTCCTAATCACTTAACAATTAGAGTATCATATTAGAACAGCTGATATAACTTTTGTCGTGTTGACGTTTGTGAACGTGTGAAATTAGAGTGACCAGTTTGTATTACATTCAGATTGGTACAATATAGGCACCAAGAAGTAAAGGCACACACAATCATGGTAAAATAACAATATATAAACCGAAGAGGGCGAGAGTGAATAGAAGACTTCATCAAGAAAGGAAGGAACCATATTTAACAAGACCAAAAAACACTCATCGAATTACTGTCGAAAAGGGATGAAAGAAGGAAATTGTAGCGTATTCGCCATTGATTGTGATTCTTGGCCATATCCGATAACGTATCAAGACACCGATTCAAACTGTCTCTCGGACCCCAACTGATGCTGACCTAGCACAAATACCCTTGATTCCACAACGCCACGTCGTAGGCTGATCACCTATCTGCTTTTTCCATCCAGCCAGCCCCAGGACTAGCGAACAGAGACCAGCATGGAAACCTCTGGAATGAAACTCTTAGCACATGTCCAAGCCACCGAAGCTAGTGTTTCTAGATGACGACACTTTACAAATGGTGATCTTCAATGCGTTCAGACACACGCCGTCAAACCTCTGAATTACTCACAAGATGATGCCGTCGAACACAAGTAATTCTACGAGGGAGACAATGATAGAATACGTAGAGTCACCGCACATCTTCAACTCGGAGAGGCCAGGTTCCATAAGTTTAGATCAAGACAGAGCGCACTGAGGCATTTTGTGTACCTGACTGTCAACAGCCATGATAACGTCGCGACGGCCCCAGAGGTGGATCGAATTGGCGTATGCCACCCTAGTTTTCATGATACGGTTAGAAATCTCGTCCGTCACACTACGACCACTCACACAGCTACCTAGATACACGAACTTCTCGACAACTTCAAAGGGTTTACCTGCAGGAGTGAGTGAAGGTACAAGCTCCTGCAAATATTGTAACAGTACTTTGCATTTAGACATAGCAAAGCACATTCCATACTTACAGATACTGATCGACAACTGATTAGGTGTTTCATATTCCTTACAATTCAAATGACTAGAAGGAATGCTAATTGCCATTCGTATTATCAAAGGATATACTTCCTTATGTGAACTACTATTCAAAAAGTCGGGAAATTCAAGCGAAAATGGTCACCAGCCGGAAATGTCACTTATGTAATCATCGTTGAGCTATTTTCGCAACACTATAATTACTGTAAAGTGTGATAACGCTGGTGGCGTCAGTAAACTGTATATGACATTTATAGCTTATAATTTAAGCTCTTCTGAACACCTTGAGCAGCAATCTTCGTATGTTTGGCATGCGATTCGCCCCTGTAAAATGTAAGATGCTGCTATAGGACTGGACTACGTCAACTCCTAGCTTAGTGATGGGGAGTGAAGTGATAGAACATGTTGACCACTTCACCTATTTGGGAAGTTGCATCAGCACCAACGGATTGATTGGTGACGAAAGCACAGCACGGATCCAAAAAGCTCGGGCTGCTTTCGCTAACTTACACCGTCTCTGGCGTAGGCGTGACATCCGGTTATCAACCAAGAGATGTGTATACTGCTCATCAGTTCGCTCCGTCCTTCTATATGGCGGTGAGACGTGGCCATTGAGAGCGGAAGACATGAAGAGATTGTCTGTTTTTGACCACAGATGTTTACGATCTCTTTCTCGCGTTAGGTGGTATAATAAGGTAAGTAAAGTTGACGTTAGGCGTAAAGTGTTGGGCAAAGAGGGAAAATCACTCGAAGAGGCTATGAAGTTGCATAGATTGAGATGGTTAGGTCACGTGATGCGCATGCCTAACCATCGTCTCCCCCGACGGGCATTACTAGCTGATATAGGTGCAGGTTGGAAAAGAGTAAGTGGTGGCCAAACAAAAACATGGCATCAATCCATGAAATCCCTGACAGTTAAACTGAGTCAGATAGGGAGATGCAGATTTCTGGTTTGGGGCTCTCGGGACTCAAAGAATCAATGGCTGGAGACACTAGGTGACATGGCTCAAAATCTTTGTCAATGGCGCAGATGTATTCAGTCCCTCTAATCTTTCATGTTCCTTTCTACCATTACTCATTCTGTTTCACTCTTATACTTGTCTAAATTCTACTGATTCTCTTCACTCATTTTCTTGTCTACCTTTGTGTGCTATTTGGAACGTGGCAACTCGAACTGCTGCACTTCGGTGCCAAGTTCTATGTTGAATCCAGCAGCAGCAGCAGCTTATAATTTCGTACATTCAAGTATACCTGATCATTGAAATTACTCGAAACACACGAACTTCAGTGATAACTACCCTCGTAATTTGATGAGTACACAACTAGATCAATACTACAGAACAGCTCTGTTAAAACTTGCTTCTTGTTTCTTTAAGACATAAAATTCATTATCTGTACTAAGTTTCATATTGGTAATTTATATATTCACTCACCTAATTCAAATGGATGATAAAATTATTCCACACTGCTCATAATATTACCGTGGTAATGTTGAATTTTCCCAGCTGGATGGTTTACCTGCGAAGCTTTTGTTGTCCCTTTCGATAACATCTCCAGTGCTAACTGCATGTGCTAATCTTAGCCATCTTTGGTGCTGTTAAGTTGATCACCAAAAGAGTCAGGTGAGCAAAAAGTTTCACTGTGTATTATTGTTATGGTGTGACCAAGTGCAAATATGGCTAACAAGATATAATGGACGATAACCCTGACCCGAAGAGGAAAATCAGAAGACCCTCACGTTCACGAATGGATACGTGCACTTCCAAACAAGGAAAATTAATTGTCACACAAGAGTGTGAGTGGAAAAGTACGAAAGAGTGAATTAACTCTTCAATACAAAAGTATATAGAAAATAACTAGCACACATGATCGAATAAGACAGAGAAAATAGATTTAGGCAGATTTTAATTGGCTGTTGGCTAGCTGGCTTCTTATTTAGTCTAAAATATAAGTTAAAGCGACAATCTTTTTATTTTGACACGGAAATTTACAGTCAGTTTAATTTAAGGCTTACCTTACCATAATATAATGGCGTGTTAATTTTTTGGTGTGAGTGTAGTGTGATAGTCACACGCTATTTGGATGCATTGGTGGTATTTAAAATACATTGAGATGTATGAGAATGTCTAGTAAGTGAATATAAATCAACAATAATTTGGATACATTTATTTTACTTCTAAAATAGGATGTATGCATTTTTGCTCACTAAGCGAATATAATTCAACTACAATATCTAAACATTTAATGTGCCTTTAATTAGGACATATAGATATATGTATGTATTAACTGATCCACTTTTTAAGTTGTCAGTTTAATGACCTGTGGGAATTGTGCATACTACGTTAGCATAAATCAAGTAAATTACCTAGGTCACAACAGTGGTATGTCAACAATGAAATACAAACTATTGTTCATTTACTTGAAATCATTGTGTTGTGCACGTTAGGAATCGTTAAAACCATTGAATGATGTTGCAAAGTTCTCCTACTACTACCTCTACTTCACGAAATGTGTCATCTATATTGTATGATGGAACAGCTATATTCAAAAGGATAATGCTCTACTGTGTATTTTATGCATGGATACAATTCAAGGAAGTTTTAGACGCATTTATGAAGGTACTAACTAAGTTACAGGATTTTCATCATGAGCTGACATTAGTTAGAGAACCATTGGAAAACCAGGGAGTACTGGACAGCGGTTTCGTCCTAGTTTGGGATTCTTCGTCTGTCCAGTACTCCCAGGTTTTCGAATGGTTCTCTAACTAATGTCAGCTCATGATGAAAATTCTGTAACCAATCAAATCCCTACAAACCAACACTTGAATACTAACTCAGTTGTTCATTATTTATTTGAAAGGAATCCAACATATCGTATCGAGTTGATTCAAGTAGAAAAGATCCATCCGGTCCAATGGAATACGAGTATGTGAGGTATAAATGCAAATAAACGTGCTCCCCGAGGTGCTGGCTTTAGGAACAGAGGGTGAGTTGACTGTCTGTGTAAATTTTTAAAATTTTAAGGTTCAAAAGTACTTCATATCAGTTAACAGTTATAGTACGGCGTAAATCCAACGTATACAAGATATTTTAAAACAAGCAATAATGGTTAATAAAGCAGGATTTAATGAATTCATCAAATTTCGGTGGAACTCGTCAGTGTGTAGTGTATGTCTGATTTTCAAGTGATCTCACTTTCTGATTATGTAAAAACGCATAGTTAGTTCATAGATCCTCAATCATTCGCCATTTTTCACTATATTGACAAATAATTTTTCCTTTATGTTTCAATTTTCAGGGGACTAGACATTCCTCATGTGGAATTTGTTATAAACTACAATGTACCATTATCTGAGAAAACGTATAGACATCGTGTTGGTAGAACTGCACGTGCTGGTCAAAGAGGAATAGCTCTAACCATAGTAACACGTGATGTAGCACCTGTGTTTCTAGAATTAGAAGCATCTCTACTACCATATCTACCAAAATCTAAGGCGGAAGTCAGTAACTCTTCTCCTGGAATACCTCGTTGGCCAATTCCAGTTCCTGACTTGAACGGTCGAGATAGTATACTTGTCCGTCGGCGGTTAGCTGATCAAGCTTGGTCTCGAGCTTCAAAGGTAAATTTTCCTTCTTTACGGCGTTTTTTGCTGTAAGTTAATTTTGAATTTATTGGTATAGGGCAACAGTAAAGAATAGGCACCAACTACAGACGACCTTAAAACAACCAATCAGATTCTTTCAGTCAAAAAGTGGCATAAAATTAAGTGTATTTGTAATATATATAATAAAAATGAATTATACAGGATTAGTGTCCCTAATATGCTGCAAAACTGGTCCCAGTTTCTCATAGGAGTAGTTGTAGACATATTAAACCAATTTTGGTACAAAAACTCATCTAAACGGCTATATACCATATCATTTCGGGAACCGTTTACCGTTCTTATACGTTTTTTGAGGTGAGCCCAAAATCCTTCAGTGGAATTTGTATGTTTTCCTGTTACAGGATCCACCAATTCAGAAGAATGGTTGACTTTGTGGTGAATATAGCCTGGTGATGATAATTGAGAATAACCTCTCCATTCGTCTGTGTGAATGGTAGTAGTTCCTGGGAGGACTAGTCGTTGTATAGTTGGTATTAAGATATCAGCACTTCTGTTCGGGATGCGTTCTACTAACAACCCTTTACGAAGTTTTGTGTCGTAAAGCCCCAGCACCCAAACATGATTCGCTCTACTCCTTCCACGATTCATCATTTTTCGCTTTTTAAGTACAGTTTCGTCAATATGCACGACGATGCCAAATCCCCGAAGTACAGAGGTGATCCCATTTCGCTTATGAGACGCAATATCATGGCAGTAGTGATATCACTGCACTGTTGAGATCTTTGTATTCCCTGTTTCTGCAGCTGTAGCAGATACTGGTCGCTTTAGTAGCCAATTGTGGCATATACGCAATATTTTACTAGAGGACAGTTTCGATTTGGAGAAGAAAGTATCTAAAAAATCACCAACTTGCACAGACTTCCTCACATAACAGTGGTTGCATGTGAATGCGTAGCCGTCAATAGGCCGGCAATATTTTTGCAGCGTCATTATCTCTCCATATATTCAGGTTTTAGACCTCCCCCTATCAACCCACTTTCCACACGGAAGTCAACAACCAAATCTGAGTGAAACTTGCAACGAAGTTCATGAACAGCATCCGTTATGAATGATAAAAGATCTGATTAGTCGGTTAAAGGTCATTTGACTTTGGTGTCTATTCTTTATTCTTGCCTGTATAGTTGTGTCTCCTGAGCTACATGGTTTAATTTGTGAGTGTTTTGTTTGTCTTTCTAAACAACATCTTCAGCGCGTACTTCAATTTAAAGTGAGATTTTAGAATTCTCCATGAGTGTTTATCCACCCATCTCTTCTCGTATACATAAACGCGATTGGTTGTATCTGGAGACTTTCTCACTGTTTAGTCCACTTGTATTAGTATTGATTATTTTGTTGATCTGAAAGCTGAACTTTTCTCCATGTGACTTTCTTTTTTTATTGATTGATTGATTGATACATGCTATCATTGTTAATGTGTCTTTTGATTGACGCTATATACTACTGCTCAATTGAGATGAGTAGTAGTTTGCTGAATGAGTTCGACTCTGCCCCAAACGAGCGAAACGGTTGTCCAGTGCTTAAATCACTTCGTTTATCTGGCTAGCAAGCACTACTGGATGATATGAGTAGTGTACAATCAGTTGGTGTAAAAGCTGTTCCATCCAGTTATGCCTACTCTCTTGATTACCATTCATGATATCATGCAGATCACATATTTTGTGTTATCTGAATAATTTCGGTTTCCAATGGAAACTAACTGTGATGGGGTTTCACCTCCTGAAACTGTATAAATTACCCCATCATGGATAAGATTTTATTTTGATAAATCACACATTGTTATACAGTGATATTAACTAATGACTACGTTTCGAGCACAAACTATTGCCACTCATAATCGTATCAAGACACTACTCACACAACTTTTCCTTCATTTATATACATGTTTGGAAATGACTGGTGGTAATAATATCTTCCCTATTTCTGATATTTGCATTGAGTCATTTCTGTTGCATGTGTTGGATGTAGACTTAATGAACCAGACAGGATTCAGTAATCAATCTCTCTCTCCACCGACATAGATTACTTCTTAGAATTTTAACCCTCTCCCACCCTATTTTGTGTGGTTGTGTCTTAATGCATATAGTGCAATCGCTGAGCTTTTTTCTCAATTGCTCATCTTCTCGGGGCCAGTCAAATCAGAGGAGGATAATAAATAATCTTAAAATTCTATTCCAATTCAAGCACATCACAACATTCTAACAAGTTACTTATTTTGACTTTAAAAACACTCGTCTTATTTCCCATCTCATTGTATTCGATTTATAACACTCATATTATTATTTCTGAATGTACATTATCCCATACTGTTGATTTTATTCAAATGTCTAATCATCAATTTTTACTCATTTATATAAATGAGGCAAGTAAGTTGTGTGAGTGATTTGATATGATTATGAGCAGCAATAGTTTGTGCTCGAAACGTGGTCATCAGTTAATATTACTTATGGCATAACACTGTGTGATTTATCAAAATAAAATCTTATCCACAATGGAGTTATACTCTACCACAGTGCCCAAGTTTTATACTTATGTGTATAAATTACCAGTTGTATGAAAAAGAGAAGACATTCAGCGAAGAGACTCTTTTCGACGAATTCATTCACATAGCTGTACAATCGCATTTATATATAAATATTTGTGTGTGTGTGTGTGTACATGAGGTTTGTCAAGTTTAGATAATTGATTAGTTAATACAAGAATGATGTAGTATAGAGACAAAGTTAATCAGACAGCAACTAAAGTAAGACTGAGTTAAAAAACTAGATGACGTAATATAATTGGCTAAAATGTTACAACTTAGGTCAGGATAGCAACAGAGGTAATTACAGGTAGAGATTAAGTAGAAGTGAAATTGAGTGAATAAGTTGGATGACGTAACATGAATGATTAGAAACTGAGCATTGTTCAAGTCAGTAACAGTGGTAGTGGGGTGTAGAGATTGAATCGGGTGGCGGTAGAGAACAAGAAAGTTGAAAATGTAAAATGTTACAATTGAGAAGACAAAATAATACTAATGAAGAGACAGAAGAAAAGATTAGGTAGAATTTACATGTCGGCTAATAAGATAGATTACGTCCATTGCAAGTGTAGTGATTGAACGAACTTCTTCTGTATGCAGAGTTCAGGACTTAGCAAGTGAATCGCCATTGCTTCTGCAGTTTGAAGAAGTCTGATTCGTACACCTTTAGGGAGACTACTTCTTACTCTGTAGACGACTTTGAAGTTTGTTTGCGGTGTGGCTTGGTGTCCGGATTCTATCAGATGTTCTAAGATGGAACTGCCGGGGCATCGATTTTCTCCTTTGTAAAACCATGCTGGTAAGTGCTCGGTGATACGTTTGGAAAGCGAGCGCTGGGTACGGCCGACATACCCGGCTCCACACGAGCAGGTGAATTGATAAATGCACATTGATGAGGCCAGCAGCGGTAGCTTATCCTTCACGTTCACATGAATCATAGGTTTTGTGGATAAGATTAGTCGTAGTTCAGCTGCGAAGAAGGTCTTCTTAAGTGAGCGCGACAGTCGATTTTTTAGTGTTTCCGCAGATAGATCTCCATTGAATTGGAGGTTCATGTAGAGTAGTTTTTTCTTGACGCTAAGTATGGGTGGCTTTTCTGGTCTAGGATTCATAGATTTTGCAATAAATCTTTCTGGATAGCAATTCTCGACGAGGATTCTCTTGAGGTTGTCCAGTTCATCTTCTATGGTGTCCGGAGTGCAAATTCTGCGAACTCTGTAGCTGAGTGAACGGATCAGGTTTCGTTTGGTGTATAGTGGTACCCAACTATGAAAGTTAGTAAGCTGTCCGTTCCACGTTGATTTTCTGTGGATAGATCTTCTCAGTGTTCCATCCTGTTCTCTTCTGGTTAGTTGGACGTCAAGAAAAGATATTGTGGAGTTGGACTCTTTCTCCATCGTGAACTGAATTGCAGGGTGGCAGTTGTTAAACGACTTTAAGATGTCGTCTAGATTTTCTTCGTTGTTGACGATAATGAAGGTGTCGTCGACGTATCTTTTGTAGATTTCGAAGGTATTGATCATTTTCTTCAGGCATGTGTTTTCGAGTTTTGCCATGAAGAAATCTGCAAGCAAAGGGCCTAGTGGTGAGCCCATAGCTATACCATCCTTTTGGCGATATATTTCGTTGTTGAAAGAGAATTGAACATTCAGGGTACACCTCAGTAGGAGTTCTTTAAGATGCTCGGTGGGTATACCGATGTTTATTCCTTTGGAGTGAATAAGTTCGCATATATAGCATATTGTTTCAGTCAGTGGAACGTTTGTGAATAGTGATGTGACATCTAATGAAATCATTGTCTTGTTGGATACGTTGATGTTTTCGATTGAGTCAATAAAGTCGAATGAATCTCGAACTGTGTGGCAGGAAACTTGTTTTCTGATTGGTTCAAGTAGATCTGCTAACCATTGAGCTGTGCGGTGATAGGGTGAATTGGTCATGTCGAGGATCGGTCGAAGAGGGATACCCTTCTTGTGTACTTTCGGGAGTCCGTAAAGTCGTGGTATATTTGAGCCAGACGGTCTAAGGGATTCGAACATTTCGTTGCTGATGAAGGATTCAGTCTTCAACTTACGAAGGGTGTCCGTTAGCTTTTGTTCGGTTTGTTCAGTCATGTTTTTCTCGTTGATCGGTTTTGTGAATTTGCATTCATCGGATAGTATAGTCAGCATTTTACTGATATAGTCCTTGCGATTCATGATTACGATTCCTCCGCCTTTATCAGGACGTAATATCATAATCTCTTCGTTTTTCATAAGTTCTTTCAGCTCCTTATGGTGCCTCTTCGTCAAGATGGACCTTCCGTTGTGTTTGGTATTTATAAACTTGTGACAACAGTCGAGGATTGATGCTTTGAATTGTTGTAGGTTTTCGTCTGATGTAGGTGTGAGATCGTAAGTTTGGTTTATTAGATTTTTGAACTGAACCTGGCATTGTA